GCTAGCCTGTAACCAAAAAAAAAATTTCATTACAAAATGGGTTTGCTTTGGGTGGGGTCCCTGGTCCCAGGTAAGGGTTGTCCTGGGGACTTCTTACCAGTGCAGCCCGTGAGGCCCGTTAAAGGTTTTAACAGTGCATAGATTTCCTCTTTTTGTTTTTTTAATTGAAGTATAGTTGATTTACAATGTTGTGTTAATTTCTGGTGTATAGCATAGTGATTCAGTTATGCATATATATATGTATTTCATATTCTTTATCGTTATAGGTTATTATAAGATATTTTTACAGATACTAAAATTATTTTCTTGAGTTATTTTTATTTTATTTTTAATTTTTCTCATCATACATTTTTTTATTGAAGATATTGAATGTAGTTCCCTGTGCTAAACAGTAGGACCTTTTTGTTTATCTGTTTTATTTGTAGCAGTTAGTATCTTCAGAGCCCAAACTCCTAATTTATCCTCCTCCCCGTAGTTTTCCTTGTAAACACTCTAGAGTTTGCTTTATGCTCCTTTCTTCCCCCGGATCACGGCAGTGGAGGTGCTGCTTTTCGGTGTGGCCTCTTCATTGCCCCTAGATGTGGCTGCATCTCAGGAAAGACTAGCTCAGCCTGGAATCGTGGCTTCTCAGCGTGGACTCCCCAGGAAGGCTTCCATGTCATCCTGCACTTCCCCTGTCAGAACCGTCTTCACCTGTTATTGCATTAATATGTTTAATGTCTCCCCTGTTTTCTCTGGACAGTCTGTGAATGTACAGTGTTCCTAGTTCCCCCAGCACCTAGAACAGTGCCGGGCAGAAAGTAGATGCTCAATGAATGACACCATGTCCTTTCCTTTGCAAACAAGGAGGCTCTGTAGAACGTGAGCCTCCCTTTATTTTCCCGGTAGAGAGAATGGGTTTCTACCAGTCCCTCACAACAGCCTGAGGCAGCAGAAGCCCTGGGGGACAGGCAGGTATGTAGACGCATGAAAGCCAGCTTATGTGGGGGTGTGAAGGGCTGGGGGGTTGGGGAGAAGAAGTGGCACCGGCAGGGCCCCCTGCTGAGCTGCTCCCTCCCCAGGCTCCTCCCCTACCCCTCAATGCCTGCAGCAGAGGGAGCTGGTGCCTCTGATGGGCCGACTCTCAAGTCAGCGGATATCTGATTTGTGCAGAGAATCTGTGGGAGCCCTCAGCTCCCCACCTTCTGGGAGGAAAATGAAGCAGCTCAGGGGCTCGGGGTCACCCTTCCTCTGTTGCTCACCCTCCCTCACCTGCAGAGCCTGCAGGGCCCGGCCACTTCTCTTGAAGTTAGAATGTGTTTCCTCCTTAGTAAACGTGAGGACACACATGCCACCACGCAGCCCCCGGACTCAGCTGAGACCTCCAGGAACACTGGGGTGGGAGGTGGTCAGGTAGCGGATGTTCTGGGAAATCCCACGCCAGCAAGGCCATCTCTAGCAAATCCCCTTTCACGCGAGAGCTGAGTCACGCGTTAGCTTGCTCCTCACATCGCCTGCCCGGCGCGGCTTCTGGTAATTGTGCACGATCCCAGAAGCAGCGTTGAGCAGCGCTGGGAGAATCAGGCAGGCTCCCGTCCACAGGGAGCAGGGGGCTCTTCCCACGAGGTCCTGATGGTATCGGGTCTCACAGCAGGGCTCTGCATCGTTGTGCATCCTGCCCAAACCACCTGTCGGTGCTCCCCCTCACTCCTCACCGTCTCTCACCTCTCTAACGCCAGCTGCTCCTCTGCGCTTGGGCAGTGGAGCCACAGAACAAAGTCCTCCCTCCCTCCCTCAGTCAGCCGTGCTCTCTCTGTTGATAAGGCTGAATTCTTCCCTCCCGCTCCAAGCTGCCTAGCCTCTCAGATGTCCAGCAGCTTTTCAGCTTTAGATGTCCGGTTCCCACAAGCCCCGATCCTGTAATTGCTTCTGCTCTGGCTCCAGGACACGGCCATCCCACCATTCCCCAGCCCAGGCTTCTCTGCTCCTTCCCTGTAGGGGACCCCAGGCCCCATCAGCATCTCCCTTCATACATGAACGCTTCCCCTTGATGGGCTGGGTCAACCTGGAGAGTTCACATAATCGACAGTGGGCAGCCAAAACGCTCACCAGCCTCTCTTTGCACTTCAGAAAAGGCAGTGTCAGGGAGACCTAGTGAGGGCACACGTACCTGCCACCTTAGCTATACCCCTCAGTCCCATGTCATAGCTGGGGTGACTGTGGAGTCCATCTGTGAGGTACAGACAAGGATGGAGAGAAATGTCCCGGATCCCACCTGCCTACAATCC